AAAACGAGCATCTAAACGGACTTTTTTGAAAAAACTCAAAGAAGAAACCCCCCCCCCCCTAAAATCAAGTTTTCTACCCCACACGAAGACGGAAACAAAAAAAATGCATTGTAGAATACCCAGAATGCCCCCAAGAAAATCTGGTCAAGAGGAAAAAAATAATCCGAGCTACTGCCCAAGTTTTGGAAATAGGGCTTCGGGAGGTTTTTAAATTGTCTAAATTGAAAATGCAATCTTAAAATACACCCACAAGACCCCCGTAAGTTTCGGATCGGTCGAGATGATTTTCAAAAAAAAAGTCGATGAATAGTACCAAGTACATTTGTACTAAAAGTTTGCAAAACCTGGCAGCAAAGATTTTTCGGAAAAATATGGATTTTTGAGGGCCAAGATGTCATTTTCTGGAGAAAAACAAAGAAAAAACCCCCCTCAAAATTTAGTTTTCTACGTGACTCGAGAGGAAAAATGAAAAAAAAACTCATTTTGAAATACCCGAAATGCCCCTGGAACAGAATAGGGTAAAACTCCCTAAAAATGCTACTTAGAGTTTTTGTTTCATCAAGGATGATGTTGTTTGCCAAAGTGAGCATGCAAGCATATGTAAAATGATAAAATAGATGTGGTACAATGGCTTAGGGCCTCATGGCATGTCATATGCAAGGTATGACCCTTCAATGCATTAAACCACATATCTTCCATAGGCAACAATGAAGCTAAAATTAACATACATATCACAAAAGTGTCTTTGGCCCTTGGCCTCATTACAACACATTTTAAGAGTATCAAAAGGAGCACTTAAGTGCACATTACATAGTTTAGACATCAAATACATGTTTTTGTCATAGTAAACAAAATAGACAAGATATGCTAACAAGTGCATATTCTAACATAGCAAAAATACTCCAAGTAGTCTAGCAAGTCTAAGATTGTTGTGCATCCCACAATATGACTTCTTTACCTGAAAAACACCCGGTAACTTCGGGGTGAGTAAACAAGTTTACTCGTAGGGAATGCATAGATTTAACTTGTTGCAAGATTTGCATTTTTACATAATTCAATCCATATTATTAAAGTGACATTAAAACTTTCAACATAGCATAATGAGATACAAATTCACAAAGTTAACAACTTCGAATTTAAATGCGAAATCAAACCGAAGTGGATACTTGGATATTGCCTGGATTAAAACCGTACTCTTGAGATCAATTTAGGGCTATTAACCCATGGGTACCTTTCCCCTAGTGCGCACTATAATGTAGGGAGCTCTCTATCTTTCGTACTAGAACCAAGTCCTAGCCAAGTCATGTTCTTGATAATATCCCAAGTTTCCAAAATCAACAAGTATAACAACAAGTCATGATATGTGATAAAACATAACAAGTTCCATGGATTGAATGACTAAATCATTAGATCATTGATATAGATATTAATTAAACTAATTAAGTAATTTCTCTAGATTTCAAGAGTTGTCCAAATGATTCCAATTTAATATATGACAAGTAATAACTCATAGATATGTCATATATCAAGTCAAAAAATGGAATTTAAGCATAGTACAACTAAGTAGGATTTAAATCAAATTAAATCAATTAATTCTCTAGATTTAAAAGCTCATTTAAATCATGTCAAACTAACATACAACAAGGATCAAGTCATAGCCATGCCATATATCAAGTCTAAGTAAATTATATACAAGAAATCATTAATCATTTATCTCTTAATTTAACATAGAACATGCATACAACTTTTATATCATTACAAGAACAATTAAATCACTTGAAAAAATTAAATTAAACACCCCCTACCTCAATAGAGAATTGAATCTCTATAATCCTATGCAACAAAGCTCAAAATGGAAAACCAATCAAGGGTTTTATAGAGGGGAGTGAGAGGAACCTAAAGTATTCCAAGTTTAAAGTTCTAAGGTGAGTGAAAGGGCACCAAAAATAAAGTCAAAGCTACTAGTCAAGCTTTTCTCCAATGGTGGTTTCCTTAGGGTTCTTGAGAGGAAAGTGATGAATGAATAAAAGAAATGCAAACCCTAAGCTAAATGGTGGGCTTCTCCACTCACTAGGTGCTCTTGCACTACCTCTCACACACACACTAATGCAAGACTAAAGGTGAGTCCTACACTTGTCATGAATCCAAGTAGTCTTCCAAGATTAAAAATCAACCCTACACTTGTCAACCATCCAAGCCAACAAGTGCACCAATCCTAGGCCAACAAGTGAGTGAATCTCCACCCTCCACATGTCATCATCCAAGTCATCAAGGTGTTTCCACACACTTGTCAACAAGTGGACCAATGAGAGTGTGACACTTGTCACACTTTCCGAAAATTGTAAACAAGTCCTTTTTGAAAATATCTTCCAATTTAAATTGCTAAATGGTCCCTAAGACGAAAAGTAATTACTTTACTTAATTACCCAAAAACCCCTCAAGTTATGGATAATTACAAAAAGTCTTGTTTTCATAACTTTTACAAAGAAAGTAAGCATTTAATATGCATTTCTACAAAAGTAAAAATGTAGATGTCATGGAATTTAAATATCATGGACGTATGCAAAACTGGAATCAAATCTGAGCATAAAAAGTGAGGTTATGCATGGAAAAGTGAAAAATGACTAAAGGACGAAATAGTGAATAGTGTCTAAAAATGAAAAATGTGGAAATGACTCGGTCCTTAAAGGAAGTTGCCAATCCAAAGAAAAGAGTCTCGGAAATCATTCCAGAGCACTCGAGACGACACAAATCCATGAGAAACAAAACCCAGAAAGGAAAAGATAACGGAAAAAAAAATATCCGTGAAAATCTGAGAAGAAGAAAAGAAAGGAAAAAGACCGGGTCATTACACTTTGGATGCCATCTAGGAGTAAATTTTTCGAAAAATTGATATCTTGCTTTCATTTGTGGTCCACATCATCTTAATTTTGAAATTGATATCTTACTTACATTTGTGGTCCACATCATCTTAATTTTGTGATTGTTTTGAGATTCACTCTAGGATTCTACACTAGCACAGGCGTACACTAGCATTCATTTGTGAGGTACATGCTTTTCATGATGTGTAGAGGACCATACTTGCTTGCTTGATGTTGAAATTTTGGGAGATTGCTTAGAAATGATTGAAAAATTGCATACTTGAGGTAGTTTTCTCCCGATGCTTGTTGGAATATTGGTGCCTCTTTAGTGAGAAAGAGCTTAATGTTTGTGGGTAACATTTCTAGAAACCCTCACGAGACTTCACTAGTCCACTAGGGGTAACTTAGGTGTGACGATCCTGGTTTTTAGGCCAGCGCGTCCTGTGATGAACCGAAGATTAACCAGATAGTGGATCCAGATATGGAAGCTAGAAACAAGTCAACGGTCTCCCAAGGCACAACACACCTCTAAGACACTTTGATGACCTTCCATGAGGTTGTGGAATTCAATGAAAACTGACGCGGAACAAAAGATCGAAAAAATAACAATTAAGCCCCCACGAGCAAAATAGTCATTTTACATGAAAATGACGTCCCTGGAATGTATATCATTCCCGAAACACATCCGTAACTTCCTATGAAGTCACGGAACTCAAAAGAAAGTAGCGGAAGCGGAAAGCAAGAAAAATTGGACAAAAATAGCCTCAAGGGCAAAATAGTCATTTCTAAAACTATGGATTCGGGTGCCACCGAGCACACTTCTTTTTATTTATTTATTTATTTATTTTTTACTAGTAATGACATAATCACTTAAGATTTAAAATATATGTATGTATATAACATATAAACTAGTGCAAAATTCAATGGTGTGAAATATGAGACATAATAATAATTTTTTTCTAAAATAATTGTTCTAAATTCATAAAATTATTTTTAGACAACCAAATAGTTTTTCGAATTTTTGTTTTTCAAAAACTGTTTTGTAATTTTACCTGTTCACGTTCTCTATTCTTGAAAACAATTTTAAGAGAAGAAAACCAAGCAAGGCTTAATATTTCTATGCCAATTTGTTTCTTTACTGAATAAATTAAGAATGAACCGACGTTGTACGACATAATAGTAAATCAAGAACAAAAAATTAACATATTACAGGAATTGATAAAAACAAAACAATTTATCTATGTTATAAAAAATGTCATTACATTGACAGTGCCATGACAATGGATGAAAAAACAATTCTAATTCAAATCATTTAGCTGTTGGCATCTTGAAGCAACAAATCGGACAAAAGTTACCAATCTCCAGCCAATGAACAATGCAATCTTCATGGTAGACATGATCACAGGGCATGTGAGTGACTTCAGAACCAGCTTGAAACTTGACGAAACAAATTATACATTGATCCATGTAACCTCCTATCCATGGTACGATCTTCTCCCCATCTCCATCCCCATCCCACGGATGGTGCTAGAACAAGTGTTTATGTCAGCAGAGGGAATACTACTAAATATATCGTTAGTTGTGTCCGAGAGGGTGATTACGTCCGTTCATGAAATTTCAAGTCATAAAAATGTATTGTATATATTAGTAGAAAACACGTCATAAAAATGCGTTGTATATATAAGTAGAAAACACATACACACATATAAAGAGCTTTATATGCCAATTTGTTTTTTTACTGAATAAATTAACAATGAACACTTATAAATTAATATTTGTACAAGTGGACTATTGGTTTTCCCATGTTTAAACTCTAGTGCATCATATTTTGGTAAAGAATTATATTTAATATTAGGGCAAATTTCTGTAAACCCCAATACTATTAAAAAGTGATCATAAAACCCCAACCAATTTGAAAAACCCCAATAATATAATAAAGTTATCACTTTACCCCAACTCTGTCAATTAGGCCCGTTAACTCAGCGCGTGGTTAACAATTGCTTTTGATAATTTGACTTTTGTGACGAAAATACCCCTACTATCACATGTGCCAAACAAGTGATGTGTATATAAATCTATTATACCGAAAATACCCCAAACTATGTAATAGTAAAAACCCACCATCTGATTTTTTGAAAGGAGCTTCATTGACCGTGAATTGCTCATCCAAATTCTGAGTAACCAAAATTTGATTGAGAAATTGGTAACGGACCATGGACCGGCGACCAAACTGCAAACAATACAAAATCCAAGTTCAGCTGGGATAATGGACCGGCGACCAAACTGCAAACAATACAAAATCCAAGTTTATCTGACCCACCATCTGTTCATGTCAGTAGGACAGAAGCCGGTGCACCTTCGTTGGCAGTTACTCCAAGTGTTCCCTTCTATCCTCCATTAAATAGGGCGGGACCTGTTTCTAATCCCCAACCTCCACCTGAGATTGTTCCTGTTCCCTCCCCACCTGCAGGAGCTCATGTGGCCAAGGACATCAACTATTATAAGAGCTTGATTCAGCAGCATGGTGGAGAAAAACAAGAGATCCTTCCCCAATCTGGTGGCCGTCACAACCAGTTACTACCCAACCCAGAATCAATAAATAACCCTAAACCAAGGGATTTAAAACCCAAGATAATGAAACCTTGCATCTATTTCAACAAATCAAGGGGATGCAGGCACGGAGCCAACTGCTCATATCAGCACGATGTGTCATCGGCCCCACAGCAGGTCAGTGGCATGCCAAAGATAAACCTCTAGATACAATTGACTATTTGTACAGTCTTTGATCTTTGTAATTCGAGAAAATTAGAGTGTCCCCTAAAATCCTGAATGCACCACCTCCATATTCTTGAGCCACTGTTCGCACCTCAAACTCTTTCAGCATAATATCGATAGGTGTTGGAAATAGTGGCCTAGTTACACACACAACACTATACTATATGGAAGAGAATAGAAATGGAGGAAAATCCTTTTTATTTCACTTATAGAAAATGAGTACAATGCATGGGTTTATATAGGCTTCAAAACATAAATGTAAATGAAATTTAAAACCCCACTAACATATCATTTAGTAGGCAAAACTCCCACTAACCCACTAACATGACCATTTAGTAGGCAAAACTCCCACTAACCCACTAACATGACCATTTACTAGTTGTAGCTCTCATGTCCCCCACTAACTCCAATAAAAAACTCACATAAATATAAAACACCAAATAAAATAAAGTTTAATTTCTAACACCCCCTCTTAAACTTGATTTTTTTTCAACTCCAAGCAAACTCCTAAACTTGTGAAAATCTGCAAACTTGAGGGGCTTGGTGAAAATATCCGCAACTTGATCTTGTGACTTGATGAACTTGAGCTCCACCTCCTTCTTAGTTATACATTCTCTAATGAAATGAAATCTTGTATCAATATGCTTGCTTCGTTCATGAAACACCGGATTCTTGGCCAAAGCAATTGCTGATTTGTTGTCCACAAAAATCTCCGTTGACTCTTCTTGTAACATGTGTAATTCCTTCAACAAATTCCTCAACCAAATTACTTGACAAACACATGAAGTGGCTGCAACATATTCTGCTTCACAAGTTGAGAGGGTGACAATGGGTTGCTTCTTTGAACACCATGTAAAAGCAGTATTTCCCATGAAAAAACAATAGCCCGAAGTACTTTTTCTATCATCCAAATCTCCAGCCCAATCGCTATCACAATAACCCACAAGCTTGAAATCATTAGAAAATGAATAGAATAACCCAAAATCAAGGGTACCTTTGATGTAACGAAGAATCCTTTTAGCCGCTTTGAAATGAGTTATGGTGGGTCTTTCCATAAACCGACTAACAAGCCCAACCGCAAATAATATGTCCGGCCTTGTGCATGTTAAGTATCTCAAGCTTCCAACAAGACTTTTGAAAAATGTTGGATCCACCGTCTCTCCATCTTCATCTCTTGACAATTTAATTCCAACTTCAATGGGCGTGTTCACCAATTTACAATCTTCCATCTTGAATTTCTTAAGAATTTTCTTAGCATAGCCTTCTTGGTGAATGAAAATTCCATCCTTCATTTGCTTGACCTCAATGCCAAGATAATAAGCCATGATGCCAATATCTGTCATCTCGAACTCTCGAGCCATAACCTTCTTGAAATCTTCAAACATTTTTGGATTGCTACCTGTGAAGATTAAATCATCCACATACAAGCAAACAAAAAATACATCTCCATTCTCACTTACTTTGGAGTAAAGAGCATGTTCATATGGGCACTTTGAAAAATTATTGTCTTGAAAATATTTGTCAATTCGCTTATTCCACGCTCTTGGTGCTTGCTTCAAGCCATATAAAGCCTTCTTCAATTTCAAGACTCTATTTTCTTGCCCCTTTACAACATAGCCCATGAGTTGTTGAACATACACCTCTTCTTCAAGAAACCCATTTAAGAAAGCCGATTTCACATCCATTTGGTGGATTTTCCAATTGTTCTGGGCTGCCAAAGAAATTAACAATCTAATTGTTTCCAAACGAGCTACGGGTGCAAATACCTTATCATAGTCAATTCCGGGCTTTTGGTTGTACCCCTTGGCGACCAATCTTGCTTTATATTTTTCAACTTCACCATTTGCATTATGCTTTGCTTTATACACCCACTTGACACCAATTGCCTTTTGCTCTTTTGGAAGTGTAGCAAGCTCCCATGTGTCATTCTTCTCTATGGATTTAATTTCTTCATCCATAGCATTTCTCCATTTTTTGTCTTGTGCCGCCTCTTCAAATCCTACGGGTTCACAATCCGCAAAGAGACAAAAAAGTGTTAGATCACCTAACCTTTCCGTTACCTCATCTGTTTCGTCATATATGTCACGAAGACTCCTCATGCGAAGTGGTGGTGTGTCACTTGAACTTGATGATGATGGAGTTGATTGATCTTGAATTGATGGCGGTGGAGGTGATGTTGGTGGAGAAATGGGCTGCTCCATGCCTTCATTTTCTTGCTCCTCATCAGAAATTAAAAAAATATTATAATCTTCATTTGGAGTGTTCCAATCCCATGTGGCTCCCTCTTCGAATTCAACATCTCTACTAATGACAATCTTCCCATTGCTTGGATTGTACAACTTGTAGCCTTTGGAATTTGCATCATAGCCAATGAACACCATTTTTTCACTTTTGTTGTCTAACTTGGTCCTCCTTTCATCCGGCACGTGCACATGGGCAATGCTCCCAAAAACCCGCAAATGAGAGACACTTGGCTTTCTTCCGCTCCATGTTTCTTGTGGTGTTTTGTTTTGCACACTTCTAGTAGGACACCGATTGGACAAGTACACCGCACAATCAACCGCTTCAGCCCAAAATTCTTTAGGCATTTCCTTACTTTTCAACATGCTTCGAGCCATATTGAGAATGGTTCTGTTCTTCCTTTCTGCAACTCCATTTTGTTGGGGCGATCTCGGAACCGTTAAAGGATGGTGAATTCCATTTTCTTCACAAAATTTTTTGAAATTATTTGATGTGAATTCACCACCTCTATCGGATCGAAGAGCCTTTACATCATAGCCACTTTGTTTTTCAACAAGTGCTCTAAATTTTTTAAAAATTTCACACACCTCCGATTTTTGTTTAAGAAAATACACCCATGTTTTTCGGCTAAAATCATCAATGAATAATAAAAAATAATTATTCTTACCAAATGATGATGGAGAAATTGGACCACAAACATCCGAATGGATAAGTTGTAGTGGCGCCGTAGCTCTTGTGGTAGCTTCTTTAGGAAAACTTTTCCTTGATTGCTTTCCAACGAGACATCCTTCACATAATTGATTTGGATTGTTAATGAAAGGCAATCCCTTCACCATCTTCTTTTTGGCCAACAACTCTAATCCTCCAAAATTCAAGTGCCCAAATCTCAAGTGCCAAAGCCAAGTTAAATCATTAACACAAGCCTTCAAACATTTAGCCTCGTCGGCTTGAATATTTAGCAAAAACATCCGGTTCTTTGTCATTGGAACCTTGGCAATCAAATTACCCAATGGGTCTCTTATCGAAAGACTACAATCCTTCATGGATATATTGTAGCCTTTTTCTAAGAGTTGTCCCAAACTCAAAATATTGTTCTTCATATTAGGCACATAATAAACATTTGAGATAAATTGATGATGCCCATTCCTCAAACGAATCAATATTTTACCTTTCCCTCTTACCGGAATTTGTGATAAGTCTCCAAATGTTACCTTGCCATTTATTGATTCATCAATATCAACGAACTTCTCTTTGCTACCACACATATGGTTGCTAGCACCGGTGTCAAGATACCACACATCTTCTTGATCACTCCTTTCACATTTGTATGCTAACAACAAAGTGGTATTAGAGCTAGTTTGTGAGAGAGAGAAGAAATGGCAAACAATTCGGTTCCATTTCAAATGCCTCGATTCACCAAAGATAACTATGAAAATTGGTGTATCCATATGAAGGAAATTTTGGGAGCACAAGATGTGTGGGAAGTTGTTTCCAAAGGTTATGATGAGCCAGAAGATGAGGCAACTTTGTCTCAAGCCGAAAAAGATGTTTTACAAGCCATGAGAAAGAAGGACCAAAAGGCGGTGATGACCATCCATCAATGTTTGGATGATGGAATGCTACAAAGAGTTGCTAGTGCAGAAAATGCAAAACAACTATGGGAGATTCTTCAAAATTCCTTCCAAGGAGTTGATAAAGTGAAGAAGGTTCGCCTCCAAACATTACGGGGTGAATTTGAAGCATTGCATATGAAGGAATCTGAATCAATTTCAGATTATTTTTCGAGGGTCCTGGCTATTGTAAATCAACTAAGGAGATATGGCGAAACCACCATGACTGATACAAGGGTCGTTGAAAAGATCCTTCGGTCATTGGATTCCAAATTCAACTACATTGTTGTAGCCATTGAAGAGTCAAAGGATTTGGATTCCATGACTGTTGATCAACTCATGGGTTCGTTGCAAGCTCATGAAGAAAAGGTGGTGAAGAAACAAGAAGCATTGGAGCAAGTGCTACAAACAAAGTTTTCGTTGAACGAAAGAGACGAAAAACATGGAGGAAATCAAAGGGGCCGAGGACGTGGAAATGCACGTGGCTGAGGAAGAGGAAGAGGCCGTGGAAGAGGAGAAAGAAGCGGTCAACACACAACCAACAAAGTGGTATCAGAGCCAGATTTCATGTTCAGAGCCTAGACGATCCTGAAGGCCAGACGAAGTTAATCCTAGAAGGTTCAATATTTGAGAAAAACATGTTTCTCCTTGATGATGATGAAGGAGAAAATATGTATTTTCTTAGTGAAAAGATGATATTCTCTAATTACAAGAGAATGAGAATCATCATGACTTCATACCTCAAAGCATGCGATTTGTGGGATGTTGTTGGAGAAGAGCCAAAGAATGGCATGTCCAACAAGCTTCATGAAAAGAAAGAAGATAAGGCATTGGTAGTGTTGCAAAAGGCAATACATCAAGAAATTTGGGAGTATTTTGGAGAGTCCAAAACTCCAAGTTGTATTTGGAAGATGCTCGAGACCATCGTTTCCAATCATAGAGGTGAATCACTACCCATGGAGTATTGGGTACAATGCTTTGAGAATGATGAGTTTACGAAAGATGATTATGAAAGTTTTGAAGACAAAGTTGTGGAGAATGAAGAGAAGTATCATGCAAAAGAAGTTGAAGATTTTGGAGATTCAAAAGTTGAAGGAGAATTTGAAATGGTGAATAAGGAAGAGATAAAGA